ATTCTACAATAGGTGATTCATATAGAGATAGGTTGAGTTGCTTCTCTAGTTTTCGATCCAAAGCTTCAAAATCCTTTTTTTCAATATTGATTTATTGACTTTTAAACAACACCACCGCTCTTGAGTTAGTAAACTCATTCCACCTTTTCCTCCTTCATGAACCAAGCCCCTCTCCAATGGGTTTAAAATCAAGAATTCATGTGCACAATCAGAAATGAAATCATCAATCACATTAATGAAATAATATGAATCATCTTGTCTCAAAGATTTTTTCATTACATCAGAAATTTTGAAAGAAACTTTCTCATCCCCAACTCTCAAGATTAATTTTCCATCACACATATCAATATAGCCTTAGTAATAGTTAAAAATGAACGACCTAAAATCAATGGGACTTCAGTGCTTATCTATATCAAGAATGACAAAGTCAACAGGAAAAATAAATTTATCAACTTTTACTAACACATCCTCAATAATACCCGTAAGATATTTAATTGACCTATCAGCTAATTGGATACTCATCCTAGTTAGCCTATGTTCTCCTAATCTCAATCTCTTAAAGATAAAGTATGACATCAAATTAATACTAGCTCCTAAATCAGCCAAAGCCTTATCAACTATCAATCTACCAATGAGACAAGGAAGAGTAAAACTAAGGATCTTTCAATTTTGTTGGCATCTTGTTTTGTAGAATTGCTGAACATTCTTTATTCAAAGTCACTGTAGATAACCCCTCCAACTTCTTCTTGTTAGGCAATAGATCTTTTAAAAATTTAGTATATTTGGTCATCTGTGCCAAAGTATCAACAAATGGTAAATATATAAGAAGTTGACAAAGTAAGAAAAGAAATTTACCAAATTGTTCATCATCTTTGTCCTTCTTCAATCTTGCTAGATAGGGAAGTGGAGGTATGTATTCCTTCACCTTCGATTGATTTTCTATAGTTTCTTCTTGTTGTTTATTCTCCTTTTCAACTGCATCTTTTTTTGTTTCTTATTTTTCCCTTTCTTATAATGTCTTGCCACTCCTTAATGTTACTGCTTTAACCTGGTCCTTTAGATTAGTTTCAGTATTAGCAGGCAAACTTTGTTGAGGTCTTTCTAAGAGAAGTCTAAAAATTTGACTAAGTTGTAGTTTCAGTAGATTGAAACTACGATTCTAAAGTTTGAATAAATTTGGTTATTAACTCCTCAAGATTTGACCTTTTTCAGCTAGGGGAAAAGGATGTGAAGTCTATTGAAATCCTGGAGTTGTATTACCTCTCAATGGCGGCTGACTGTTGTTCTATGGCAAATTTAAATAATTTCTCCAACTAGGATTATTCATGTCATTGTAAAAATGGTAAGGTTGTCTAGTCCCAATCATATTAGCATGTTCTTCTTGAGCAACTTGACACTCATGATAAGGATGACTGTCACGACCCCTTTTTATAAAGAATCGATAATATTTGGCACTACCATTTCTAATTCACTTATCCATTTATGGGATATTATATACATGAATCCAAGAGTATAAACATTTTTAAAAAAAATTGAACTTTAACATTCACATTAACAAAATAACGAAGCTCCTTGGATATTTTCATATAACACCAACATTTACATAAATTCATATATTTACAACAAATTGATTCAGTGAGGAATTCAAAACACAAGTGTTTGACATATAATTACATTCCTTGGCAAATTAATAACCCAACAGTCTATACCTAATGCTCAAAATCTAGACTAACAAAATGATTAACACCATGATTTGCCAAAATGCTAACTCTAGTGTCTCTAAGCCAGACCTTTCAGCTTAATAAGTAGATGCATTCTCTGTAACTTCTACTCACGTACCATCGTACGATCATTGCAACACACATACCAACACAACAAAATGCAAGGGTGAGCTTATAAAATTTATAATCATAATATAGAATATGAATATGTAAAGCATTTTAAACAACTAATATATTTTTCAGCAGTCAGCGCAATAAATTCAATGAATTGATGCACTATGCTTAGCCTATTCCCAGCCCAACTAATGCAAATGCAGCAATTCAGTTCCAACTGGTTTCACAACCTAAGTACTCCAGAGGAACTGTTTTCTGGTCTGGGAGTAACCCATCCCGGTATCTGGATCCAGACACAGCATAACTCAGCATCCTAATGAGCTTTAGAATGATTGTGATGTAGCACAGCAAGATTAACATATTACATTACAACAAATTTTTATTTTCAGCTTCAACGATACATAAAGATATATAATTTCAATACACAATACATAGTGAAACTAAGCAGTTCAAAATATTAATTAAATATTCCAGCATGTATTAGTACTTTTGGCTCAAACATTCCAACATGTTATATAGATCCCAACATTATAGCATATTATATTTCATCACGACTTTCTAAACACTCATTAGATAATAGAGAAATATACTTGACTGTACAGGCTCTAGGTCCTAGCCCAAGGTTAACTCATACAACTCATTATCCTCAGCTAAAATGATACGCTTTATATAAACATTTTGGTCTCTACTAAATAAACTAGATCAAATCAGGTAAGCTCCCCTTACCTGGAATGAGTTTTCTTCAGATCAACTCCTAGTAAGTCCCGAAGAGATAGATCAAGCATTTGGGTATAGAATATGGTTCAAACAGCTAAGATTTACTCATAATGATATGGTATAAGTTGCTTGAAAAAGAGAGAGAAGAAACAAAGTGAAGACCAAAAATTAAGCTCAGAGAACTCACCTAGATCTCGATGAGATAAAATATCTCGCTTTGATAGGGAAGGAATTCGGCTTTAAGAAAGTTTTTCTAAGGAGAAGAAGTGAGAGAATAAAGAGAAAATAAGAGAGAGAAGTTATCTGGTGAGAAAATGAAGTTTCTGGGTGCTTAGGCCCCTTAAATACCTCTCTAGCACTCATGCTCTCGCTTAAGCGAGCTAACAAAAACTTGTTCAGAAGGCAAGTGTACCCATCGAGAAGTAATAAAATATTCTTAAATTAAGTTCTCGAAATATCATCCCACAAGGATTGATTTTCAATTACTAAGAATTTTCTACTTCAATTGTTTAAGCTTCAAAGATACGAGATTAATTAAAATAAGAATTTATAAAATCAATTATAAAACTAAAAGTAAGGAATACAATGCACGTCTTGGTTAAACTTATAGGAGAGGAACCTAGGGCATATGAGTTTTCTCATTCAATCTTTTATGTTATTTTTCTGTTTAACTCTAAATCCAATTTTCTTGTGATTACCAATCATTCATACGAATACTATTAATACCAGTGGTCATGCAATATTAATATTCTTTTCTCTAAATTAACATCCCCAATGGTCATGCAAGACGTCAATTTAAGAAAGCTTAAGGAACCTATGAATTTGTTAATTTAATAATGATTAGAAGAGAAAGATTGGTTTGGTCCACCTAATCCTTTGTCTCGTTTTACCCTATAGATCTATTAATTAACTGAGGTAGGTTGCCTAATGATATAATTAATTAGGATTAAGAGAGAAGTACAATAGAATAAAATCTAATCATGAAACGAAAATTAAATTTAGATTCTAACATCAAAATTCCATAAATTCATGAATGATAGTTCTCATAGTCCTAGCTATGGACTTAGTTACTCATGCTAAAGAAAAGAACTAAAACAATCATAAACAAAGCCATAGAGAAAAGCAAACTAGAATAAGATGAGTTTTCAGTCTTCAAGTATAGTCGTTCAAAACTCCAAGTCCTGCCAAGAGTGTGCCAAAGATCTCGTGTAAGAGAGACGAGATGAGATGTATCCCAGAGCAAAAGCCAGGATAAAAATGGTCTCCCCTACGATACTTGAGGTCTACCTTTTAATAGGGTTTGAAAACCCTAAAGAATCTTCATAATTGGGCTTCCTGTAGATGAGTACGGCAGTGCAAGGCCTTAAGCACGACCGTGTATGGGCTTGAAGTACCCCCATGCTTGTTGAAAGGGTCTTGGCGTGCTAATTGCTGCGAAACTCTAATTTTCCATCAATTTGGGCCCAAAATGCACCTAAAGTCCACTTGTGGATCATCGTATTAAGCAGTTGATGGGGAAGGAGATCTCATTGGTGAAGGTGATTTAGAGGTCAAGTGATAAGGGAGATGCCACATGGGAAATAAAGAGTAGAATGAGGGAGTTGTATCTGGGATTGTTTGTGTAGATTTTGTGTGTTTGGTTGAATTTCGGGGACGAAATTCCCTAAAGAAAGGGAGAGTTATAACACCCTGAATTTTTGTAATAATATTTTAATATATTAATATAAGTGTATATGTGTATTTTCATGTGATTATATGTTTGATTTACGTATATAATGACGTGTATATATGTGTATGACGTGGATATGCATGAATGAGTGAAATGTAATGTGGATTGTGGCTGGGCTGGAGTTAATTGAATATATATGTATATATGTATGTATATACAAGTTGAATGCGGGTGCTGCAGGGTACTCTTGTTGTAGCGAGAAGGCCCTCGGCGTAAGACATGAAACTGTGCCGTTCTCGTTGTAGTGAGAGGATCCTCGCTGTAGCGAGAAGGAACTGGGAAAGAGGGGTGAAACTATTGCTTTCTTGCTGTAGCGAGAGAGCGATGGTTTGGGGAGCAGTCTTGCTGTAGCGAGAGGGTTCTGCTATAGCGAGATTTTGTAGAAACCAGAATACAATTTCCTTTGAGATTTCTGCTATAACGAGAGAGGGTACTCGCTGTAGCGAGAGTGTCACGACCAGAAAGAGATTTAAAGAGGTTTAAGGTTTGGAAAATTTCATTTCTTATATCTCCCTTTGAATTTCTTTGATCTTCTCAATCCTAAACCCTATTTCACCGATTAAATTGCCTCCAAAGCCGTTCGTGAGTTAGATTGAAGGTTGGATTCATGTTAGGAACGCTTGGAGGTGAGTTTTAATGGCTAGGGTTTTGGTTTTTGTCCCTCTTCTTTGTTTTTTGGGTTCCTTTTGAGTTCTTATGAAGTTTTCCATGTGTTTTAGGGATGAAATTCGTTGTGGAGAACGTTTCCTATCGCTAGGTTTGTGTTGGATCTTCATTTGAGGTAAAAGGGGACTCTACCCGATCTCACTTGCTTGAGAATCCATTAGTTTACTATATTTTGTAATATGATTGAGATAGGATGTGTGAACTTGTGTATTTTGATGGATAATGCGTGGGGTATGATATTGATGATGTTGAATAATATGAATGGTTGAAAGGATTATGCGAGACATAGTGTGTATAATGGAATAAATTGCTGGATGAGTATTATGTTGAAATTGGTGTATGTGTGTGAGTTAGAAATGTTGTGCGTCGAAGTAACATGAATGAATATGGGCACTTGTACCGTGTGTTGTGAACAAATGTGGGCCTATATGTTTGTAATGTGAATGACTATAGGCATTGTGCCATGTGCTATGAATGAATACTGTATATGGTTGAAATGTGTGTGAATGAGGCATGTCAAATGCCATTGTAATTGTGCTATGAATGGTTCAGCGATACACTAGAGGTGTGGAAGATGAGGACGGTAGAAATACCTTAGGAAAGAGAGTGGTGGTGACACCAACAGTGAGCGTGGGTGCATCATAGGCCACATACTCTCCTCCTGACTAGACCTCTGACCAACACTTTTGCCAAGTAACGCGTGATCGCACCCGTGGTATTCGTGAGGTAGGGGTAACCAGCGATTATCTATGGTGTGAAACTGTGATCACAGTGCCACAGTGAGCGTGGCTACGTGGAGTGAGCGCATGTGTATGAAATAATGTGGGTGCAGTGAGCACATCGGTTGTGAATTGAAATTGTTGCCTGTGATTGACTGTAATTAAGTAGGATATGCGAGAAATACATGCAGAGTATATAAGGTAAGTCTCTATGTTTGTGTGTGTTGGATAGTGTAGAGTACTCACCCTTACATTTATTTTTCAGGTGACCAAGATGATCAGCACCAGACTCAGTCAAGAGGTGGATGAAACTGCTATGTGATTTAGGAATTTATTTTGAGATTTTGATGTATTAATTGATTCCTGTAGTAGTTATTAATTCAAATTGTAATTCACCCTTATTTTGAGATACTTGGTTGAACTATATTTTGAAAACCATTTGAACGAAAATTTTTATTATTCCCATATTTACGAAATTCATTTATCTTGGAAATTAAATTTAAGGTGTTACAATTTTGGTATCAGAGCAGCAGTTTATCCAAACCAGACTGGGGTATCAGGCTAAAGCGTCCAAGCTGAATGTTGATTTGTTTTGTTTACCTGAATTATAAATGTTGATATTGATCTGACATGTTAGCATGTGGTTTGTTGCATTGTGATTTACTTAGCTTAAAATGACTGGTAGAGGTAGAGGAGTTAAAGATATCAATGACCTCATGGATTGTATGGCTTAGATTCTGGAGAGCCAGCAGAATACCAAGGATTGTCTGCCTTTACTGGGCACGATCCTCCAAAATTTGAGGGTGAATTTAACCCTGAGGGAGCCCAGAGGTGGTTGGCAAATGTAGAGAAAGTCTTTAATGCAATGGGGTGCCGTGAGGAACACAAGGTGAACTACGCTACCTACCTGTTGTGTGGGGAGGTAGAAGACTAGTGGAGGTTTGTCGGTCAGACATTGACACAAGAGGGTGGCTACATCCAGTGGGAGACCTTTAAGGCAATCTTCCTAGGGAATTATTTTCCTCGGGATCTAAAGAAGCAGAAGGCCCGTGAATTCCTTAAACAGAAGCAAGGAAACATGACAGTAGGAGAATATGCTGCAAAGTTTCAAGAGTTGATGAAATACTGGCCTCACTATTAGTATGGGGATGGAGAGGAAGACTTGTGTGCCTAGTTTGAACATGGACTGAGTCCAGCTATCCAAGTAGCAGTCAATGTGTTTCAGCTGACAGACTTGCCCACTCTGGTGAGCAAGTTAGAATTTTTGAAGCCAACTCAAGGAGCAAGACTGTGGATACTAGGGGGAGTGGTCCAGCAAAACATGATAGAAGACCCCTTAGAATCTCAAAGAGGCTATACTCAGGCTCGAGTAATTCTCAGTCCAAAGGGAGTTCATCACAAGAGAAAAGTAGTGGGAATGGCTCAGGATCAGGCTTTTTCAGAGGGCCGATTAAGTGCTTTAGGTGTGGAAGACTACACATGGTGAGAGACTGTCCACAGCTAAAGACAAGCTGCAGTAACTGTGGGAAGCTAGGGCACACTGCTAATGTGTGCTAGGCTGCTAAGAGGAGTGGTAGTTCGAGTACAGCTTAACGGCCTAAGTCAGGAGGAAGCACATGGCCGAGTATAGGACCAAAGCCAAGTATCCCTGAAAGAGTCTTTTCCATGAGCAAGATGGAGGCTTCACAATTTGAGGAGCTGATTCGTGGTAAATGCATTATTAAAGGCCAATTACTAGATGAGCTATTTGATTCGGGTGCTACACATTCTTTTGTATCCGTGGATTGTGTGAAAAGTCTGAATTTGTACATGATGAGTTGCCATGCAATGTTGTGGTGACTACCCCGATAGGTAAGCTAGTTGTGACGTCATGGGTGTATTTAGGATGCTTTATAATGATGAACGGTAGGAAATTTGAGGTGGACTTAATTTATTTGCATTTTTCTCAACTAAATGTGATTTTGGAAATGGATTGGGTAGCTGTTAACCATGTGCTACTGGACTTTAAAGAGAAGACTTTGATCTTCGAGGCGATAATGGCAGAGATACTAAGACTTATGAGCCGAGGTGCGTGAGACAACACGGTGAATGCTAAGGCCTTTATGTCAATGTTTTCAATGGAGGCTGAGAACATGGTGGGGCTAAAGTATATCTCGTTGGTGAGGGATTTCCTGGAAGTTTTCCTGGAAGATGTTTCTGAGTTGCTGCAGGGAAATAGAGTTTGTCATTGACTTTATTTTGGGAGCTAGCCTGATTTCTATGGCACCATATAGGATGGCACTAATAGAGCTGGCGGAGGTCAAGAAGCAATAGAGGATTTATTGCAGAAACGATTTGTGAGACCAAGTGTGTCACCATGGGGACCGTCAGTGCTCTTGGTAAAGAAGAAAGATGGAAGCATGAGGATGTGTGTGGATTATTGGCAGCTAAACAAGGTGATGATCAAGAACAAGTATCCGCTCCCAAGGATTGACAATTTGATGGACCAGTTGAGAAAAGCTGCACTATGAGTATTTGGTCATGCTGTTTGGGGTGACCAACGCGCCTGCGGTGTTCATAGACTATATGAACCGAATCTTCCATGAGATTCTGGATAAGTTTGTAGTGGTATTCATTGATGACATCCTAATTTATTCAAAGACTTGGGAGGAGCATGCTGAACACTTGAGAATTGTTCTGCAAATTGTATGCAAAATTCTCAAAGTGTGAGTTCTGCCTGTCGGGATTCAGTTTTTAGGGCGTGTCAAAGGAAGGAATTATGGTAGACCCTGCAAAGGTTGAGGTAGTGGCTGGATGGCCAAGACCGACAAATGTGACTGAGGTCCACATTTTTCTAGGACTAGTAGGTTATTACAAGAAGTTCATTGAAGGATTTTTTAAGACAACTTTACCCTTAACGAAGCTGACCCGCAAGGGCAGGGAATTTAAGTGAACCAAAGGGTGTGAAGCTAGTTTCCTAGAATTGAAAATAAAGTTGACGTCAGCGCCCGTGTTAGTTATGCTGGACCCGAAGCGGAAGTTTGATGTGTATTGTGATGCGTCCGAGTAGGGACTTGGGTGTGTTTTGATGCAAGACGGGCGAGTAGTTGCCTATGTCTCAAGGCAATTACGTCCTCACAAAGTAAACTATCTGACTCATGACTTGGAGTTAGCCGTGGTGGTTTTTGCTCTTAAGGTATGGAGGCACTACCTATATGGGGCGATGTTTAAGGTGTTCAGTGACCATAAGAGTTTGAAGTACCTGTTTGATCAGAGGGAGCTGAACATGCAACAGAGAAGATGGATGAAATTCTTCAAGGACTATGACTTCACATTGTCTTACCACCTTGGTAAGGCAAATGTGGTGGCTGACACTTTGGGCCAGAAGTCATTGCACGTGGCGGCAATCATGGTAAAAGAAATGGAGTTGATTGAGGAATTTCGGGACATGAATTTGGCAAGGCCAAAGAGTTTGTACCTCGGAGCGACAACAATTCATAATGACTGACTTCTTGGTGTATGTCCGAGATGCGCAATAGGGAGATACTTTTCTGCAAGATATGATGAGGCAAAAGAATAAGGGAAAGGACTTGGAGTTTCACTGCGATGAGAACGGGGTGATTAAGTTCCAGAACCGAGTGTGTATTCCCTAAGTGGATGAGTTAAAGCATATGATACTTGAGGAAGCGCATAAGAGCAGGATGAGTTTTCACCCTGATGTGACCAAAATGTATCAGGATCTACGAAAGAGTTTTTGGTAGAATGGGATGAGAAAAGACGTGGCTGAATATGTGGCTAAATGCCTAACTTGCCAGAAGGATAAGGTAGTGCACTAGAGTCCACCTGAGTTGCTGCAACCGTTGGAGATCTCTGAGTGAAAGTAGGACAACATTTCCATGGACTTTGTTTCTGGTTTGCCGAGAACCAGGAATAATCATGATGCCATTTGGGTGATTGTGGATTGATTGACTAAGACTGCACATTTTCTCTCGATTAACATGAAGTATAAATTGAAGAGACTTTCAGACTTGTATGTGAGGGAGATAGACTGGCTGCATGGAGTGTCGATTAGTGTGGTATCCGACAGAGGCCCGAGGTTTACCTCAAGGTTCTGAGAGAGTTTGCAAAGGACGTTGGGCATTAAGTTAAAGCTTAGTTTGACATATCATCCACAGACGGACGGTCAGACCGAGCGACCTATCCAAATGAGAATTTAGTCTAAATTTAATTTTTCAAAATTTATAATTAAAATAAAAATAAATTATAAAAAATTAAAATCATATTTTAAAATAATTATTATTTTATAAAATATTACAAAAAGTATAAATCACAAATATTAAGATAACAAAAAATAAAATAAATTTTTATATCTTGATGATTCATAATACATCACCCTCTTGAGAATGAGAATATATAAACCATGTTGTTTAAGAAATACTAAAAATAAAATAGGATAAAATAAATTATTTTAGTATGTTTCTCATTTGACTCCACAAACTTTTAGGTTGTATTTGGATGAGATAATTTAAATTTTTTAAAATTTAAATATATTATTTATATTTTTATTATTTTAAAATATTTTATTTAGATAGAGTAATTTAATTTTTTATATTTTAAAATTACTTACATACTTAAAAAAAATTTTTTATTATTATATTTTTTTGCTATTAAAATTATTATTATATTTAACAAAAGTAATTAAAAATATAAAATTTAAATTATAAAATTAACTATAATTAAATAAAAATATGAATGAAAAACACAATAAATTAAAAAAGTAATTCTAAATTCCTAGGTTACAATTTTGTTAGAATTTAAATTTTTTGTTAAAATTTAAATTTTTTTTTATTTTAGTCTATTAAAAATTTCTACTAAAATTCTTAGAATTTTAAATTCTTTAAATTTTTATCCAAACAACAAATTTTAACTTATAAAAATGTGGATTTTTTTAAAAAAAAAACTTGAATTACTCACTTAAAATATCTAATCCAAACACACTCAAAATTGTATTTGGATAGAGTATTTTAGAATTTTTGAGAATCCAACGTTAATAATAATTAAAATGCTTGTGGATTTTTATTAGGAAATTTTAAACAATAATTACAAAAAAATATGCATAATAGAAAATATTTTTAATTTTCTCAAATGACATGTCATTTAAAATTATTGACACATAACATAAAATTTCATTAACTAAAATTTTAAAATATTTTTTTTACTAATTGAAAAAATATTTTTTTACTAATCAAATATATATGCCATGTAGAATTCCTCTTGAAACACAACATTAGAGTGATCATTAACCAGCTTGATTACACTCTTTGTTAAACGTCAATAATGTAAATTTTAGATATCCTTATCGATCTGGTTTCTCTTAAATTGACTTTTTCATCTTTTTTAAGATAAAGTACTGGTTTCATTTGCATTAACATTATTGTCAAAATGACTCGAAGTAACTGATCAATAATATAATCTGAGGCGTGTAAAAGACTGTTGTTCTTACGGATTATTTTGGTGTAGTCAAAAATCCTCCAAGATATAACAGACTCTTCTTGTTTGAATGTACAAGACTCTCAAATACTAGCAAGCTTTTCTTTACTCATAACTCAGAGAAATAAATATAATAAAAAGTTTGTGCATATTTCGTGCGATTTTCTCAAAAGATTTAAGATACTTTAATCACTATAATTGCTCACATAAACGTTACATATAACTGAGATATAAATAATAATAATAATTAAATTAGAATAATAAAATAAAATTAATAATTAATAAATTATTTTGAAATATAGTCATATTATTTCCAACAATCTCCTGCTTATTTCAAAAGAATATAATATAATAAAATAAAATATTTTAAAACTTAATTCCAGTTTTCTCCAAAGCTATAAACTCTGATTCCATGGTCGATTTTGCAATTTTTTTTTTTTGCTGAACTCCAAGTCACTGCACCACCACCAAAGGTGAAGACAAAACCACTAGTGGATTTAATCTCATCTGAATTTGAAATCCAGTTAGCATCAATGTATCCTTCTAATATAGTTGGAAATCTACTATAAGTAAGACTATAATTCATGATATCTCTCAAATATTTTAATAACCTAGCCAAAGTGACCCAATGATCATTACTAGGATTATAAGTATATCTACTCAATCTGCATACAACATATGCAATATTAGGTCTAGTGAAATTCATCAAATGCATCAGACTTCCAATGATTTGTGCATATTGAGATTGAGCAATTAGATCACCTCTATTTTCCTTCAACTGGGTGTTAGCATCATAAGGGCTACTCACTGGTTTGAATTCAAAATATTTAAATTTATTAGAATTTTCTTAACGTAATGTTCTTCTAATAATATTATACTATCACACTTCCTTATGATTTTAACTGCTAGAATTACACTAGCTTCACCCATGTCTTTCATGTCAAATTTAGATGCAAGAAAGCATTTTGTTTGATGCACTATGTCATTGCTAATACCAAAAATAAGCATGTCATCCATATATAAACAAATAATCACACATTCTCTATTTTCTAATTTTGTGTATACACGTTTACCTACTTCAACAGTAGAAAAACCATTACTAACTAAAGTTTGGTTGAACTTGTCATGTCATTGCTTAGGAGCTTGTTTTAGACCATATAAAGATTTGAGGAGCTTACAAACTTTATTTTCTTGTCTAGAAATTACACACCCCTCAGGTTAGACCATATAAATTTCTTCCTCTAACTCACTATTTAAAAAGGTTGTTTTAACATCCATTTGATGAATAACTAAATTATATGTAGATGCTAAAGCAATCAAAGTTCAAATAGAGGAAATCCTTGTTACAAGAGAAAAAGTATCAAAATAATAAACATTTTGTTTTTGAGTAAAACCTTTGGCTACTAATCCAGATTTATATTTTTCAATTGATCCATCGGGGTTATATTTCCTTTTAAAAATCCATTTGCACCTAATTGGTTTCACTCCGAGAGGTAAATCTACCAAAGTCCAAGTATTACAATTTGTAATAGAATCAAGTTCAAATTGGACAATGTGAGTATCCAATTTTATCCGGGTCTCATCTAAAAATAAATAAATAAATACA